AACATCAAATATAAACATTGATATAAAATCAACCAATAATTAAATCACCTCTTAAAAACCCAGCAGTTCGAAAGCACCAGTGTAAGTAGATAAATAGATACCACTGCAGCAGGAAGATATACAGTGTTTCCATGCGCTCTGGTTTCTGTCACGGTGTTCCGCTGCACCCGAAGCGGTTTAGTCATGTTGGCCACATGACCTGTGGACAAATGCCAGCTCCCTCGGCCTCAAGCAAGATGAGAGTTGCAACCCCATAGTTGCCTTTGACTGGACTTAACCTTTCAGGGGTCCTTTACCTTTACTTTCTAACAAAATAAAAAGGTAAAGGGACCCCTGACCATTAGGTCCAGTTGTGACTGACTCTGGGGTTGTGGCACTCATCTTGCTTTATTGGCTGAGGGAGCCGGCGTACAGCTTCCGGGTCATGCGGCCAGCAGGACTAAGCCGCTTCTGGCGAACCAGAGCAGCGCATGGAAACACCGTTTACCTTCCCGCCAGAGTGGTACCTATTTATGTACTTGCACTTTGACATGCTTTCAGACTGCTAGGTTGGCAGGAGCAGGGACCGGAAAACAGGAGCTCACCCCGTCACGGGGATTCGAACCACTGACCTTCTGATCGGCAAGTCCTGGGCTCTGTGGTTTAACCCACAGCACCACCCACGTCCCAAAATACACACAGATTAACTTCATTCATACAATTCACGTTTTCACTGATGGCTTTTGTTCTATCTTTATGCTGGAAAAATTGGGGTGATTCATTCAATGGGAGCAACTGCCCATACTCCTCTCGCCCTGCCGCCCATGGCTGCCCTTGCCTGAAGATCATGTGTTACTGCTCCAAATTTTGTTATTTTAGAAAAGGACAGATTTCCTTCAGTCTAAGAAAAGACTAAAGAAAGTGGAAGAGGACAAAGACTGGATGATGATGATATTAAAGTATTCACACGCAGAAAGTGTGTGAATGCAGAACGGCAATTTCACCCTAAATTCCTTGTCTGGAAGCAAACTGAATCAGGCCCACAGGCAACCACCTGTATCCGCTCTCTGTGGTTAAGCTGTTCATACCTATTTCAAAATAAAAGGAATTCAGCACCTGTAAAGAATTTTAATGGTTAATTAAGCCTTGATGGCGTCAAGCCTCGTGTTAGCATGCTTCTGCTAGCGCAGGACTTTGTGGCTAAGTTTGACAAAGCCTCCATTAACACCCCCCACTCTAAGCAAACTATTACATCTCCATTCATCAAATAAAAAGGTATTAAATCACTTCTCCTTCCAATGGCTTGAAAAATGCCCACACAGCAAATGAAGGTTCTACCTTGTAATAAGGAAGGACAGTGCACTAAATCATGGCAGAAAACGCCTGCTCCCCAAAAAGGAGGGAGGAGTTGGGAAAGGGAAACACTGGAAATTAAATGCACTAAATGCAACAATACAAAATGAAAATCGCTTGCCTGAACACCCAGTTATTTGCCGGTAAAACAAGAAAGAAAACAGAATTAAGACTAAGCATTGTGGCAAAATCACAGATTAAGTGTTTTCTATTGTATTTTAGTATTTTTATTGAGTGCCGTGCAACAAAAGATGGGTTTAAAATGCTGCTAAAAATAAAGTGCAATTCGGAATGTAAAAAATAGTTTATTTCATTGACCTTCTGAGGGCTCAGTGGTCAAACTCTGAACCAGAATAAGCCCCCTGAAAGCTCTTCAAACAGTACTTCACAACCCACACAGATGTCTCTTAGTGTCTTGTGGCCTGGGCCTAATGACAACATCCTTATTCTGACCCATAAGAGTGTGTCTCCTTCCAACAGAAACCCTTCCAACAGTGGGTGAAGAAAGCTGTGAATGGAGCGGGGGCCTTTCCCCATCCTTTGGACCCCCTGGGAAACTCAACAAATCTGCTATACCTGGAATTAGGTGTGCAGAGTGCAGCTGAATGCAGCTATGGGCAGCCTGAGGAAGGACCATCCACCTTGGGCCTCCTACAAAAAGCAAGGCATGTCCACAGCAGCCACTTTGTGATATGCCGCCAATCCCATGCCAACCATTTTGTTACTGGCACCCACAACCTTTTCGCGAAATTTTCAGTGTGTCCACTGTCCTCAAATGGTTGCCAACTCCTCATCTGTATCATTTCCATTTGAATTTATCAACCCTAGAACTATGTGGAGTCACACTGTTGGACCACCCAGCCCAGGAATGGATGCTCTCTTGCATCTTAGACAGTGGAGATGCTAAGGGCTGCATGCAAGACATTATGCTCTACCCAGCGTGACCTCAACCCTAAGCACAAGTCCCTCTGCAGGCTAGGTGATGTGGGCCATAGTTTAATCTTATTACCCGTATGCCCATGGGTAGGCAAACTAAGGCTCGGAGGCCGCATCTGGCCCAATCGTCTTCTAAATCCAGCTGGCGGACGGTCCAGGAATCAGCATGTTTTTACATGAATAGAATGTGTCCTTTTATTTAAAATGCATCTCTGGGTTATTTGTGGGGCCTGCCTGGTGTTTTTACATGAGTAGAATGTGTCCTTTTATCTAAAATGCATCTCTGGGTTATTTGTGGGGCTTGCCTGGTGTTTTTACATGAGTAGAAAGTGTGCTTTTATTTAAAATGCACCTCTGGGTTATTTGTGGGGCATAAGAATTCGTTCATTTCCTCCCCCACCCAAAAAACCCCCACAGTCTGCCCCCCCCAAGGTCTGAGGGACAGTGGACCGGCCCCCTGCTGAAAAAGTTTGCTGACCCCTGCCTATGCCTTTGTTGAAATAAACTTTCTTTTCTTCGCCCCAGCTCTCCTCCAGCTTCCCAGGAACTTCATACCGCGTTCCTTGCATGGGGGGGGGGGGAAAGCAAGTCACAAATGAAAGACGCTTTCATGCTGCGCAGAGGAGAACTGGGCAATGAGGCGTGTAAAAGATGCATGGTTATTTGAATCGGAATGCAAAAGGCTTGTTAATGACCACAGAAAAATATGGTTGCTTCTCTATTACCTAATGACATGCAATCTGACAATTCAAATAAATCCACTGCTGACACAGTGCGTTACATTGAGAAGCGAAGGCCGTTGACATTTTGCTTCATTCATTACTGTCTGCCAGCAACGGTATACCGGACAGCGGGGAGTGAGGGTGGGGGAGGGATGCATCCTCTTAAAACAAACAAACAAATAGTAGAAGTCTTTACACAGCCATTGGGTGTCAGGAAGCGTAATCCATAAAAAAAGCAAAGGCATTCTTCAGTCCTGCTACATTCAATGCAGCTCAAGCGTCTTGATGTGGACTGAAGTCTCATTGATTTCAATGGAGCTCAGGCACTTTTATCTTATCTGGACTACGCCCAAGAAATGCAAAAGTCTTTTATGAGAGATTGATTTAAACATAGCAGTAATGAAGAACCCTCTTTAAGGCTGCCTCAAATTGCCTTGAGCCAAGCAACTTGCGTGGCGCTGGCGGAAAAGGAACAGTAGTTGGAGCTGCCATGAAGATTCACCCACAGTGGGGAGGGGAGAAAAATATACTTTGGGACGAAGCTCTTCCTACTGCAAACAGTGCCAGAATGAGCTTCAGTCAGGAATTGGTACTGTTAATGTACATGCAAGATGCAGAGTCCATGGTTGGTTCTCCTAAGGTTTTCCAGGTTTTTTAATGGAGACTCAATTGGAATAGCAGTGCTAAAAGAGGTGGTGTTTAACCCTTCTTGAAACGCAATTCTCTTTACCACCCCACAAAACTGGGTGTCCAAACTCATCATTGCAAGCAACTTAATGTATTTCAATGGAAGCCAGAGGTTTTCTAAACGGGGGTGGGGGCAGATTCTTCCAACTTCTACGTCAACTGCAACAGCATACTTATTTGTGGTGCTATATTTCTCCCTCCTCTTATCTCCACTTTCTATTTTTTGTTTTGTTTTACTAAACATCTAAAATATCATTTATTTTCTCTTCCGCCATTTGACCTCTTCTACGCTTGATAATCAGAAAAGCTGCCCATTATGCTGCAGAACAGGCTGCAATTTTAGGGAAAGAAATCCAGAAGAATCGTTGCTTCAAAAGGAAAACAGCAGTGGTAAGAAAGTATTTTTTTAAAGGACAACTGGTATTATTTTTATACCCGTGACAGCTCCAAAAATAAGCAAATAGCGGAAATATTTAATGATACCTTCTTTTCAGGATTCTGATCACCGCCTGTGATGTTGAGAAAATGGAAAGCCAAAAGATCTCCAATTCATACACACACACACACACACACACACATATAATGGCATTGATGTTCCCCTGCCATTATTTTACCTTCGCTGCCTTAGACAGAAGTGATTCGTTGGACAGGAGTAAACAAGCTTAAGAAAAGTGACATGAATAAGAAATGCATATTCCATATTCAGAAAACAACAGTCTGTGTTTGGACTGAGGCATAGCTGCAGAAGAAAACAAATTAAGCTTGTCATCAATTATTCCATTTATGGGAGCTAACAGCTGCCAATAGCCAACATTTTACAGTGTTGGAGAAATGTCAGTCAATATAATCTCCTCTGAATACGACAAGTAAACAGTTATTAATAATCAGCTGGTTTGATTAAAGGTCTAATGTTATTATTGACCATATTCTAAATATTATAAGTAGAAGCTTCTGTTCCGTTAGCAAGAGATACCGTGCTATTCCTGCCTTTTCAAACCTACTTTTAAAATAACATTACCTCGTTTTAAACAGAGAAAATTTCAGAACCCACCTAGTCCTATAGTGGTCAACCAGAAAGGTCACAAGAAAGAGATGAGGGCAATAGCTCTCTCCCACCATTGGTACCCAGTGACTGCCTCTGATCCCGAAGACACTACAAAGCCATCATGACCAGTAGCCATTACCAGCCTAGTCCTTGATAAAATTGTCTAATCCCTTTTTAGAGCCACTGAAGCTCGTGGTCATCACCAGCACGATCAGTTAGAGGGATTTCCCTGACCTCAAGATAGGGGGGTCGATACTGTTGACTGGGGTGGGTGTTAGGAGGCAGCGAGGTCTGTGCAGTGCAGACACACCAGCGGAGACCATCTGGCACTCCTGCTGGGGTGTCTGCACTCCACTGACCTCCCTGCCTCATCGCTTCTCCTTCCAGTAAAGAGCAGGGACTCCCCTGTCAGGTGGTCAGGTAAGCACCTTTGCACCACCATGCTGTCTACTACTGGCCATCACCACATGTTGTGGTAGCAAATATGCAATGTTAACAGGCATAAAAAGTGTGACATAAGCTTTAGAAATCAATAAATATTAGGCCATGATTAGGCAAACTAAGGCCCGGTGGCCGGATCTGGCCCAATCACCTTCTAAATCCAGCCCGAGGACGGTCCAGCAATCAGCGTCTTTTTTTTGAGTAGAATGTGTACTTTTACTTAAAATGCATCTCTGGGTTATTTGTGGGGCATAGGAATTCGTTCATTTTTTTCCTTTCAAAATATAGTCCGGCCTCCCACAAAGTCTGAGGGACAGTGGACTGGCCCCCTGCTGAAAAAGTTTGCTGACCCCTGTATTAGGCTCTCCCTCTGTGTTCTCTGATGCTATGAAATGGGGTGGGTGTTCACATACAGATTTTTCACTGGTTTCTCCCAGACTCTGGAACAGGAATGAGGGATTTCTGGCTCTCCAGTTGTTGCTGAACTACAATTCCCATTGGCCATGCTGGTTGGGGCTAATGGGAGCCAGAGTCTCAGCATCTGGAGGACCACAGGTCCCCCCATTGCTTTAAGGCATTCTCTTCCAGTGGGGTTCAACTGTCTTCCTTCCTTTTGGATTTTAAGTGGAAGATAAAGACCACCTCATTTCTGTGGGCATACAATGCCATGGCAGTTTGGCTAACCTATACTTTTCTACTGCTATCTATCTACTTATTTAACTTCCTATGCTGCTATGGGTTTGTTTTTTTAAAGCACCACTTTAAATTTATTAATGTCATGTTTTAATTCATTGTTGTTTTGGTGGTTATTTTGTGAGCTGCCTTGGGTATTTTATACAGAAAAGATTGATTTTCTTTTTTAAGCAAATAAAGAAGGAATAATCTAAAGCAGATTTTGGTCCAAGGGCAAGATTCTAACAATTAAGAATGCGCAATTGACCACAGCCAAGCATTAGACATGCTCAACATAACCTGAATCAATCACTTGTCTCTAGTAGTTACTCCATTGCTATATGAGTGTAGAAGAACAGCCCTTCTGGATCAGGCCAAAGGTCCCAGCTTGTCCAGCATTTTGCTCTCACCATGGCCAACAAGATTATGGGAAAGCCTGCAAGCAGGACCCAAGTTTACACCAGCCTACAGCGAGTGTGTTGCAGTCACATGCAAAGGTTTGTGTGAACCTTCTGCTTCATGGAAAGGAAACAAGAATTCACACAGGTCAGTCCTGAGCAGAGCGGACAGCCTCCCCTGCTATGCTTACAGAGGAGTTGCATGAGATCCATGTCTGAACTTGACCACAGAAGCATCAGTGACCTCGAAGAAACTTCTTTTATTACTCAGTTTCTTGTTTATAGAAAACCATGCCCCTGAAACAGTGAGGGTTTGTTTCAACGTGGCGGGCTTTCTGTATACTGATAAAAAGGTAAAGGGACCCCTGACCATTAGGTCCAGTCGTGGCCAACTCTGGGGTTGCGGCGCTCATCTTGCTTTATTGGCCAAGGGAGCCAGCGTACAGCTTCCAGGTCATGTGGCCAGCATGACTAAGCCGCGTCTGGCGAACCAGAGCAGCGCACGGAAATGCCGTTTACCTTCCCACCGGAGCAATATCCAATTTATCTACTTGCACTTTGACGTGCTTTCGAACTGCTAGGTTGGCAGGAGCAGGGACCGAGCAACGGGAGCTCACCCCATCGCGGGGATTCGAACCGCCAATCTTCTGATCGGCAAGTCCTAGGCTCTGTGGTTTAACCCACAGCGCCACCTGCGTCCCTGTATACTGATACCATTGCTCAAATAATCAGAAGGAAAGAGGAGAGCAACTTACAGAAACAAATTACAACGCAAGACGTGTCTAGAAATAAATGGATTGTGAAGTCTGATTGTCACAACAATGTCAGGTTATTATTTCCCCACCCCACCATACCAGATATATAAAGATTTCAATTCTTGGATGCAATTAGCTACTCCCATTCAGTAATAGCCACTGAACATTTTATCCTGGTAATATCAACAATGCTTCCGAGAAGGGAATGCCTGAAAGTCTAATGGCAGCCCGTCTTCAACCTTGATGGATAGGGGGAAGGATGAGAGAGGCGTGGCATCAGTGCTCCAATTGTGGCGGAGAACGTTTAGCCAAGCCATGCTCTCCCCCTAGCTTTCTAAAAAGAGCATCTAAGGAAGTCTTTACAAGTAAACTTCCTCACCCACACCTGCCCTTCTTGTCATCTGGACGCTGCACTAAAGGTGAGGAGAGGTCTTGCTGCAGCTGTGTTCTGAGCCCTGAAGCAACTGGTGCCTGGAATGGTGCTCTGCTGCTGCCCTCCTGACAGCAGCATCACTGTGGACTGGGACGGTGTGGGGCAGAGGCAAGATCGGGGTTGTGCAGGCATGCTGGCAGGGGCAATCGGGTGCTCCCACTACTGCACAGCTCTGATCTTGCCTTCACCCTGCCCCTGCCCCATCCTAGTAAGTCGTAGCAATTCTGCCATCAAGCAGAGCAGCAACACCCCTCTGTGCTGTCCACTGCTGCCTTTAGGGGTGGGAAAGGCAGAAGAAGAAGAAGAAGAAGAAGAAGAAGAAGAAGAAGAAGAAGAAGAAGAAGAGGAGGAGGAGGAGGAGTTGTTGTTTGGATTTGATATCCCGCTTTATCACTACCCGAAGGAGTCTCAAAGCAGCTAACATTCTCCTTTCCCTTCCTCCCCCACAACAAACACTCTGTGAGGTGAGTGAGGCTGAGAGACTTCAGAGAAGTGTGACCAGCCCAAGGTCACCCAGCAGCTGCATGTGGAGGACACATACATGTGGAAACTTGACACCTTCCACCCCCACTCTCAATGTATTCAGGTTCTCACCCCAAGTGGCATGAATTGTTGCCTGAGTGGCATGAATTGGCCCACTCCTTTTCAAAAGAAGAAGAAGAAAAAGAAGAGGAGGAGGAGTTTGAACTTGATATCCTGCCTTTCACTCCCCTTAAGGAGTCTCAAAGCGGCTAACAATCTCCTTTCCCTTCCTCCCCCACAACAAACACTCTGTGAGGTGAGTGGGGCTTTGAGACTTCAGAGAAGTGTGACTGGCCCAAGGTCACCCAGCAGCTGCATGTGGAGGAGCGGGGACGCGAACCCAGTTCACCAGATTACGAGACTACTGCTCTTAACCACTACACCACACTGGCTCTGCAAATATAATAATACAGTGGTACCTTGGGTTAAGTACTTAATTCATTCCGGAGGTCCATTCTTAACCTGAAACTGTTCTTAACCTGAAGCACCACTTTAGCTAATGGGGCCTCCTGCTGCCGCTGCACCGTTGGAGCACGATTTCTGTTCTCATCCTGAAGCAAAGTTCTTAACCTGAGGTACTATTTCTGGGTTAGCAGAGTCTGTGACCTGAAGTGTCTGTAACCCGAGGTACCACTGTAATAATAATAATAATAATAATAATAATAAATAATAATAATAATAATAAATAATAGTTTTCACTGCACCCTTAGTGTACATGGGTGTGCTTTATAGAGTGGAAGAGTCCAGGCCCCTGCTGTGAAGAGCTTACAATCTAGAATTTGACAGAGGAGAAACAACAGAAGGAGGGAGGTTGGTAGAGACAAGGCTGAACAGGGAAGCAACATGCAGTTGTTTCAGTAACGTGTGCTTAGGCTTAGTTGCACACTGAGTCACTGAAGGGCATGGGAGGCCCTAAAAGATAGTACCAAAGGCTTCATGGAAAAGGTGTACTTTGAGGAAGGATCTGAAAACAGGAAGAGGTGGCATCACACAGGTCTACGAAGAAGGAGGAGACCTCCAGGTGTTGGGTGCTGGTGGAGCTGGAAAAGTGAAGACAGGGATGTATTGAGGTAATAGAGCAAAGGAAGTAGGGGAGGGAAAGTCCACGAAGGGTTCTGAAGGTAAGGACAGGGAGCTTGTGCTGGATCTGAGAGCAGTTAGTATAGGGATTTGAGGAGTAGCTTGGCTACAGCATCTCAAAGCTACAGCATCTCAGGGAATGAATGTCCTGATGCTGTTTGTCCCAGTCTTAAAGGGCCAGCAGCGGAAGGCCAAACAGTTCTTTTCAGCAACATAAACACAAGGTGATTCGAGACAGATGAATGGGAAGCAGCGCAGAAGAGACAAGAGGAAATGTAAGTGGAGCAGGCGGATTTTTAGAAAGGCTTTGCAAAAAAAGCGTTCTTGCATGTTACGTCCCAACAGCTCATACAGTGCCTTAAAAACTGCCCCATGCTATAGGAGTGGTGATTATGGATAAGAGGCAATCTGTAATTCTTCTTCTGAAACCATGCATAGCTGATGCATGTCTGCATTCCACAGGAGACAGATCGCTTGAAATGTATTGATGGAAATCCCAATTCGTTTCTGCCTGCAATATTCCTCATAACTTGCTGTGGAAAGGAAAAAGTGACGTAATCTCTCTGGTGTGCACAACCACAGCAGTGGCACGAGGGGCAACACTTAAGCCTACCTCTGCAGGGCCAAAGGGACAGGCAGCTCAGATGCGCCTGATTTAAAGGGAACTGCAGCATGAATATATTTAATATATATTTAAAAAGCAACAACTCAGGAAGCAATACCAATGGTATACAGAGGCATACAGTCAAAGCCAAAGAGGTTAATATTTTTCCTTTTTTTGTTTTTTTTAAAAAGGATGATGGCAATAATTTCTGTCTGATTTGAAATCTACAGTGGACAAAGCCACAGGCTCCAATTGTACCTACCTGTCAAGGTCTGACATTCCTATTAGCAAGAAGCCCAAGGGCAGACACCGCTTTTAGCAGGGCACTTATTTTACAAAGGATGGCAAAAGCCCAACTTGTCCAGTGGGATGCTTTATATACAAAAAATAAAAATGAAAGTGAAAACTAAAAAGACATATTCTGAAAAGCAGCAGGAGGCAAGCTGGAGGAAGAACCGAGAAAGTAAAAATGGAAAGAGTGAAAAAGAACAAACGTGGCGAGTGAGGGAGAGAGGCAAGCTCGAGGTGGCCAAATTCCCTCTGACTTACAGAACAGGAAGCATTTCTATCAGAGAGCCAAGTGGATAATATTAATTAAAAGAGATAACATGAAACAGAAAAAACAAAAGGAGCAGATGAAAGGAAATCAGAATTATTAAATAAAATTGCGACGGGTTAAAAAGAAAAAAAGAAAAAACCCCGAACGGAATAGACACTATGATCAAATGCACCAGGCCCTTTGATTCATTTGCCACAGAAAGTCTCCAGCAAAGCCAGGAATTGAAACTTGATGTTTCTGAGATGAGAATCATAGAATTGTAGAGCTGGAAGGGACCACAAGGGCCATCTAGTCCAACCCCCTGCAGTGGAGGAATGTTTCGCCCAACGTGGGGCTCAAACCCACAACCCTCATGTTCTACCACCTGAGCTGTTGTTTGGCGAAGAGTGATATTAACAACAAGTACAAAAATCCAGTTGTGGTGTTGTTTCTTTGGCGCCACTCACATTGAATCATGGCACGATGCCAGTCATTGCTGCAGTAATAATCTGAATATGGAAAAAAATGTAGGCAGAGGTAATTACACTAGTCTTTGCTGCCCAACTGGCTCAGTTCATGCCCCTTTTTACATACAGTGGTTTGTTTGTTTCGTCGTTTAGTCGTGTCCGACTCTTCATGACCCCATGGACCGGAGCACGCCAGGCACTCCTGTCTTCCACTGCCTCCGCAGTTTGGTCAAGCTCATGCTGGTAACTTCAACATACAGTGGTACCTTGGGTTAAGAACTTAATTTGTTCCGGAGGTCCGTTCCTTACCTGAAATTGTTCTTAACCTGAAGTACCACTTTAGCTAATGAGATCTCCTGCTGCCGCCACGCAATTTCCGTTCTCATCCTGGAGCAAAGTTCTTAACGCGAGGTACTATTTCTGGGTTAGCAGAACCTGAAGTGTCTGTAACCTGAAGCGTCTGTAACCCGAGGTACCACTGTACTCATCTAAGAACAATGGAACTGCTTCTCACTGAACTGTGATTCCACGATGTTGGGAAATTAATAAATACCCCAGTCATATATTCCCCATCAAGACTCCTGTGCTTCTCTCCTTCATGCCATTAGAATATCCACACAAGCTACCCAATAAAATGGCATTACATGATTGGCATGGTGAGCAAGTGTGAAAGCGGTCTGCATATATTCTGCATTCAGATGCTCATTGGATGGCAGTAGTGCAGGAACTCAGAATAACAGAAGGTTCATCTGGCAGGAATTGCAGCTAAATTCCTGACAGATGGCCATCCAACGACTGGCTAAAAACCTCCAATGAAGGAGAGCCCACCACCTTCTGAGACAGCCCCACAGAAATGGCTCCCACACAACTAGTAATGCATAAAAGTGTGGCATTGGGAGATAAGACTTACTGGGCTTGCTAGCTTCAAAATGCAATGGTTGTGGTTCAAACGGCCAAAGGCCTGCTCAGTTTTATGACATGACTTCTTCCCTACGGTTTGCTTACATTGTGATACAATCAACGTTCATCTGCCTCAAAAGACCATGGAGTGCGCCTTCAGGGGTGAAGTCAAACCACAACGTTAGCAGCACCAAAATGACCTCCCCAGGGCACAAGCCTGGGCAGTGTGTATGGAGGTCCTGGGCTGCCCAGATGACAAGACCCTGTTCCCAGCCTCGCTTATGTGGTCCAAAGGAAAACAGAGCAATACGTTTAGCATCAGGAGTTGCCAGAAGGAGGCCTACAAGGAGCCATCCAACTGTCTTAGGGACTCTACTCTGGATTTATGTAGGGTTTACTCCTTAGCCCTTTCTTCTCAAAGCAGTGGAGGTTTAGGATCAGAGTTATCTTTCTCCTACATGGGCGACCTTCCCAGGTTGAAGAGCCCCATCTGCCCCTCATGCAATCAATATATTTAAATATTTCAAATACAATAAAATCGTGTTTGAGTGAGTAAGTGCTTGGTGTTACTTCCAAAGGAATCAGAACAATGGGATCACAGCTAGATTTTGTGTTAGACTGTGAACCTGAGCTGAAGCTTTACAGAAGGTGGTGACCTCACTCCCGTGATCAAGCTGTAGTTGTGAGTGGCCCAAGCACATATAACAACCGGGGGCCAGGAATGCAGATGCATGTCTCCAAAATCAAAAGGGGTGTTGAGACAGATCAGTAGAGCTGGGAATAACTTTGTGCATGGACAAACGGGAGATGCCTGGGACCTTGTGCATGTGAAGCTACCAGTCCGCAGAGCTATGGCATTTCCTCTCAGTGCAGGAGCTGTGCTTCCACAAACTCTGTCACGCTGGAGCTCTGCCACTGAGCCATTAAGGCCCTCCTATTGTAGCTGAACAGGATTGAGCCAAGGAGACTCGAACTGTCACAACTTCAGAGAATTGCTGCCTTCGATGCTACTCAGTGCACACTTTTTGGCTTTATGAAGACAAACATACGAGTGCATCGAGAAAGCGTCTGTAAGGAGTCAACAGGTTTTACCTTGGGATCAGCGGTGAGCAGTTTGAATGCTTGATATACTTGTGCTTCTTTCACGCCTCCACCAAGATCCAGGAAGTTGGCAGGCTTTCCGCCATTAAGGGAAATGATATCGCACGTTGCCATAGCAAGCCCAGCGCCATTGACTGCAATTAAGAGAATCAGAGTTGTGCATTTTAAAATGGCGAGATGCAGACTCGTAGGGATGTCGTTTAGAAAGTGCCACTACCGCTACCCAGATAAGTTACCATTTAAGAGTGGTAGGAAAAAACGCTGTAACTAATAATACAATAAAGAGAGAGAGAGAGAGAGCAGGGAACAGTGTAAAAGAGACGGACTTTCAGGTTTAATGCACATGGATACAAAGAAGACATCAGCAATATTTGGTGTCTGGCATTCTTTGACTGCTATTTATTGATTCATTTTTCCCCAGTGATTATGCAGAACTAAATGGACTAAGACACGTTTCACTATTGGGGGGGGGGTGTAGGTGTGTGTGTGTGTCAGAAAGAAAGGCCACACAGCAACTTCCTGCTCTCTGCTGCAGTTGCCATTTATCTCTAGAAATAGAGCAGCACTATTTGCAAGTGTAGGGACACAGGTGGCGCTGTGGGTTAAACCATAGAGCCTAGGACTTGCCGATCAAAAGGTTGGCGGTTCAAATCCCCGTGATGGGGTGAGTTCAGTCCCAGCTCCTGCCAACCTAGCAGTTCGAAAGCACGGCAAAGTTCAAGTAGATAAATAGGTACCGCTCCGGCGGGAAGGTAAACGGTGTTTCTGTGCGCTGCTCTGGTTCGCCAGAAGCGGCTTAGTCATGCTGGCTACATGACCCGGAAGCTGTACGCCAGCTCCCTCGTCCAATAAAGCGAGATGAGCGCCACAACCCCAGAGTCGGCCACGACTGGACCTAATGGTCAGGGGTCCCTTTACCTTTACCTATTTGCAAGTGTACTTCTCCCACCCCCCTGGTAAAATATATGCATTCTTTAAGAAGAGTTAGAGGGAGCACTGTGGTACAGAGTGTTGAAAAAGAGGAGCACAAAATGGGAGGTGCCTTAAAATGCTAGCTGAAGTTTGTTTGTTTATTTTATTTTATTTATATCCTCTCTTTTCCCCCGAGGAGCTCAAGGTAGTATATGTGGTTCTCCACCTCCTCATTTATTCCCCACAAACAACCCTGTGAGGTAGGTTAGGCTGAGAGGCAGCGACCAGTCCAAGGTCACCCAGTGAGCTCCATGGCTGAGCGAGGAACTGAACCCTGGTCTCCCAGATCATAGTCCAACGCTCTAACCACCACACCACACTGACTCTACATCAAAGAGACAGGGTGGGATGTGATTTAAATCAGACAGAAAGTCACCAAGCCTTAAATTCGAGTGGTTCAGGTGCCTATCAGTTTGAAAGCAAAATGGAACAACCCAAATGAAGGAAGTGGTTTGAAAAATACTTGAAGGACACCTTACCATATCTAAGTAAATACATTTGTAAATTAAAGCGTGTCCCCCCCCCCTTTGCTTTTTAAAGTGGGCCTTTCAGGACAGCCACACAATGAGAAAATACAACTGTCTGAAAAGGGAAGTTCTGGGTTTGCTAGGAATGCTATAAACCAAGTCCTTTCTATCTTGCTACCATTTGATTGTGGAGGGCAGGACAAACCTCTGCCACGACCGCAGCTTTGCTAAAATACCAGATTTCATCATTTTATGTATGTGAAGGTCGCCATGTATGTGTCTGGCCAGACAAACCTGACTATAAAGCATATTATTATTCGTTTGTAAGTTGTTTTGGGATTAATTTGAATGAAAAATGACATAAAAATATAATAAATCAAATCATATCAAATACTTTTTTAAAAAAGCAGAAAGAATGCTGTGGTAACCAGTGAGAGCCCAAGTAGGCCCAGCTGACACCGTTGGGCCTGTTTGCTGTTGACTCTCCAATTGCCGTTCTCTGAGTGGACTTTGGCCTCATGGTTCAACTCTAGCTGCACCACTAGATTCAAGGCCCAAAATAGTATGGTGGGGTGGGGAAAATGGGGTGCTAAGAAGTCCGAAACAGTGGCACAAGGTTCCTGTTCCAGGCTGGCTGAAGAGGAACAGTCCCTTTTAGAGTCGGGAAATATACTGCAATGTTCTGTTGCAGGCTCCCCACTGGTTTTGTATAGAAAATGAGAGGAGCCCTGACAGATGCTGGGAAGAAAACATAGAGCAAACCTTGCTTGGGGACTGCATGTGACTTGCAGGCTAAATTATGCCCATTCATAGGGTAATTTTAATTGATTAGTACTTAATAAATGAGGCATAATTTTAATTGTGCATAATACAATGATGTTTTCACAGTTTTATGTTCTGAACTTGCATATACTTTCCCAGGGAATTAGGAGCAAAAACCATATTCTGAAACCAGCAGAAACCCCACGAAACGTCTCCTTCACTTACCACTGATCCCTTAATTCCCCTGGCAGTTTTATGGGCCATGTCTAATTTCATTAACCTTGGCATAAAGCTAACATCCTGTTGGAAAATATTTAAAAACTCAGTTCTCCTTTTAACCAAACTCCCACTGGATATTCTTTTGATGACAATGCTTTAGATTTTATCTTCTTTTTTTTAATGGTTGACACCTCTGCTATGTTAAATGTTGCCTGTGTTGCAAATACATTAACTCATCTGGGTAAGAGAGAAGAAAATGCTTTGGCATGTTAAATTGATTGCTTCTCTACAAAGTAAGCTTTTATTTTAAAAAAAATTCCTTGAACAGGAGCCTACAATCCGGATGGGATGTTTTAGGCGTATAATTTGATGGTGCTATTGGTTTAATGAGCTACAAATCCTTTAAAAAATGTTAATTCCAGTTAGATTAAGACCTCAGTACCAAAGCTACAAATTTGTTCTATCACAATCTCTGAATCTCGCAATTAAGCATGGAAATTTACGTGCCATAAACTGTGAGGAGAAAAAGCTACTTCTCTAGATATTTTTTTTAAAAAAAAATTCCCATGAAGGCTTAAAAAAAAGTGTAAATGAAATCTTTATGTCAAATATAGACTGGTTCAGCTCTTATTTCCATTTTTATTATGAATTTTCCTTGTATATCTGAAACTGATTTTTATGTGTAATATTTATTTTGATACTAAAAATGATGATCTAGTTGTTAATAGTGTTTTGCAGAACGTAAAAATTCCCTGGTTTGGTTTTGTTGTTGTTGTATCTCTTGTTTATTTAAGATGTTTTAAGCTATGTTGTAAAGCACTTAAGAGTTTTTGCGTAAATATAAGTGGTCCAGATAAATAATTTAATCTTTTATTTCCATTCACTGAAACTTTTTTCAAACAATACAGTCTTTTGCAGGATCCCAGATTTACATGGTCACACATGTAAGTTCTGTTTATCAGGTTAGGCTTTTAACATGCTGGGGAACCAAAGTATAATGTTAACTTACATTTAAACCAGGCAGAGTGGCGCCTGCCCTGTGGAACGCCCTCTCATCAGATGTCAAGGAAATAAGCAACTATCTTACTTTTAAAAGACATCTGAAGGCAGCCCTGTTTAGGGAAGTTTTTAATGTTTAAAACCCAGCCAGATGGGTGGAGTATAATTATTATTATTATTAACCTAATCAAACTTTTTCAAAAGAAAAGTGAACAAGAAATGTAAGGAAACAAAGAGACAATAATCCAAAGGCAAAGGTTTGTGTAGGAAGATTCTGTGTGTTCAAGAGGATCTTCCCCCTGCCCTCTCAAAAATAGTGCCATGCTTCTCACTAAGAGCCAATCCAGGCATGGGTCACATCCACACCATTCATTTGAAGAATAAAGCTACCCAAAAATAATCCTGGGAACTGTAGCTTACCCCTCACAGGACTACCATTCCCAACATTCTTTGAGGGAAGCCATGTGCTTTAAATGTATGGTATGGTTGTGGCCATGACATACTTTATTTAATGCTGTATTGTTTTTAACACTCAATTGGGAGCCACCCAGAGTGGCTGGGGAAACTCAGCCAGATGGGCGGGGTATAAATAACAACAACAACAACAACAACAACAATTATTATTATTATTATTATTATTAACCTGCAATCTTTTTGTTGTTGTTTAGTAACAAAGCAGCTGCATTGGGGATTCTTATATGATCTAGAGCAGTGGTTCACAATTAGCTAAAGTACTTTAGGCTCCCTGTTTTTATAAAGCCAAGCCATGGACCCCCCTGCTTTTGAAAAAAAATGGTATTATCTATGGTAGCTTTTGTTACAGAAATGGTGCTACGGACCCCCTGGGTCAACAGACCACCAACTGGGAACCACAGATCTAGAGACCTATCTACGACCACCCCCAAATTGCTAATAGCAGCTTGGGGAGAGAGGCAATTTAGATTGGGGAAAATTCATGGGAGGAACCAGCTAAAGTCTACTCCCCATTCCGCTGATCCATTAATAGTCCCATGTGACAGTTTCAATGTTTAAAAAAAGTGAAAGATTCTGATCAGGGATTGCTTGAGTGACATCTAGTTGGGGTCTCAACAGTTCTAAAATCTTGCCTGGGTGGTGGGTGAGGAGCCTGGACTGGCGTCCACCAGAACATAATGACTTGCTCCAGTGGATAGGTCTATGCATGTGCAGAAGAGCATGAACCCTTAAAAAGGCCCCATTCATTGTCTGTAGCACATTTTCTTTTATGGTTTTCCCTACAGAAAACACTGATTCTATATTCAAATGATAGTTCTGGGTATGCAGTCAAAACATTCTGCCCAGATTCCTTGGGGCAGCAATTACTTTTCCTTCCGTTATTTAGAGTTCATTTCTATTCAAATGTTGACAACTTTTTGGATACATGGCTGACAATTCCAGGAACGCAGTTGTGGAGTAAGTAAAACACCCACCCGCCATCATTTGGCATCTTTGATGTTCACAGAGCGCGCATATGCCAAGGATAATGACTGCATGCAGCTTAAATGTGAAGAACAGCTCTGCCGCACATTTTTAATGTTACTAAGTGGCCGCGTTTGGACGATCATATTGCAGCTTAATTAGCCAATCTATGAATGAGCCTTTGATTTCAACCTTTGAGCTGGCAAACAACCAGGAAGTCTTCAGTGAACTATAGTTTCCTGTTTCGTCCAACCTGGGAGACTGCGATTAACAGCTTCAGAACAAGCCAAGATATTAACTTCAATATCTGAAGCTGTTAACCATAGTTTCCTGGGAAAGCCAAGTTTACTACAAACTTTCTGTTTTGTTCAGGACCTTGTGCAAATGGGATGTAGATGCAGCCGTGAGGCTCATTCATACCTTGGCTCATTAAACTGAGATAAGATTATTTGAATGCAGCCTCCATGGTTGTTAATGGTTATGTCAAACACATGGCTGGGAATCCAAAAGACAACTTTAGTCATGATCAAAGACCTGCATGCATGGCAGAATCTTGACTGGTTTTCACTGGACTTAATACCTCCATGACCTATTGCATGCTGGTTTTGAAACTCCCCCAGTTTCCAAATACCTCCCCCATCCTTTAACACATAAGGTCTTTGAATCGAAGCCAGAAATGTATAGTATGAACATATTTTTGCTTACCAAAACAGGCAATGTTTCCATCCAGGCCTATGTACTTCAAGTCATAATGGGCAGCTTCATTTTCTATAGGCTCATTCTCAGATTTGTCATCCATGGCAAATATCTCTTTTTGCCTGAACTCAGCATTGTCATCAAAGTTTATCTTGGCATCAAAGCACACAACTAAATGAAAGGGAAATGAAATCAATACATCAGGGCTATTGAGTGGTTGGTTCCAAATGTGAAATAGAGTTGCATAATTTTTAAGCACCACACTTTTCAGTAACGAGAGTGCACAGTCCTGATCTCTGCAAAATCAATGTAACTTCCCGCCCCCCAACGGAATTATACAGAAGCAGGCCTCAGGGACTTAGAACAGCAGACATCAAAACTCAATTTGCCATAGGCCTACCAGGTGTCAAGAGTCTTAAACTAAGATGTGGAACGCCAGCGTGGCGAAAACACACAATGAAAGTCAGGGCAGAAAAGGGAAGCTCAACAGAGCAGTCTCCCATAAATGTTCTCAACGTAACAATGCGTGCGTTTAATTACAAATCTGTAATAGCTGTAGCTCTTATGCATTATGTTAATAAAGCCTTTAAGCGATTGTTTTAATATATCCTGCACAAACAAACACAGTCAGAGAAAAACAGGAGGATAAACTAGGGAAGGGGAGAGCCACATATGCCTTGAGCTTCTTGGAGGAAAGGTGGGGTATCAATGTAATAACAGACAGATCTAAAAACAAGAGGAAATGCAACCTAAAATCAAACAGAAGTAATCAAACAAACAAAAAAGCAGCTAAATATAAACAAGCTGCAATTTTAGAAGCAGATCACACACATGAGGAGCCGTGAGATTGCACTCTCCTGTCAGAAGTTTGTGCTACACTTGAGTAGGACACTGGCACAGACACATGCCCGACTGGCATGTTCTCTCCCTCCTGGTCTTTCGCTCGGGAGTTTCAAAAGCTTTCTTCTGCCCGAACATCACCGATGCCAACAGACATTGGCACACTTAGGGATCTGCAGTCTTTGCAGCTTGCGTAACAAACCTCAGCAACTCAGCACTTTGGCTAATCTACTTTATTTACATATAAACACGCACGGAGCACTGCAACATGGCTCCCTCTCTCTCTAGCATCAGACAGCAAAGAGAAAGAACAAAGGACAATAGTCCCACTTCACGGAACGCAGTAACACAAACATCCTGTCTCCGTCACTTTCCACTTTGTGGAGTCAAAACATACACCGTCATGTGGTAGACAAAAATCCCATGACTGCAATCATGGAGCAGGAATTCTAACATCTCCTTCCCGCTTCCGGCTCCAACCTTAACCAGGGTTTGCTCTTAACCGAGATATGAAACCCTGATCCATGCCTGCACCGCTAGCAGGACTCTCCTGGCGGACCTTTCTAATGTCACCATGGAAATCTCATTTCTGCAGAACTTTCACCATTAACAAGAGCAACATTGCAAAACAGCAGGGAAACAAGCCCACCTATTAATATTTATAAAACATTTACTGCCGTCAAAAGAATATTGTGACATACATGATAGATTATACAAATGCACTTTTTTCTTCTTCTGAACAAATATCAAAGAGAGCCCCGGCGCTTCTATTCTTGGAGTGCTTTCCCTCTGCTTTTGCTATTGACATGAAGCTGTCAGAGATGCGCGAATTCAACAGCTTATGCTAAGGGGCAAGGAGAACGCTGGCAGTCGTTGGGGCTATCTAGGACAGACATTTTAATCTCCGATTTAAGCATGAACTGCAATAACACTTGCAGACTTCTTCACAGTTCCTGTTCACCTACTCTAGAATGTACCTGCTTCTACCCTGGTCCACCTGTAACATATATTTAAAGCAGCAGGGTTAGGGTTATGGCTTCGCCCAAAGAATCCAGGGGGTGGGAGGATACACGTGGACAGTGGTCACATTTATGACACCACTTTAAATAGGCATGGCTCCCCCGCCCCAATATTCTGGGAGTTGTAGTTTGTTAAGGGTGCTGAGATTTGTTAGGAGACCCCTATTCCCCTTACAGAGTTGCAGTTCCCAGAGTAGCTTGATGGTCAATTCCACTTCTCAGGGAACTCTGGTAACTGTTGTTCTGTGAAGGGAACAGGGGTCTCTTAATATGTCTCTTTAAAAACTACAATTCCCAAGAGTCTTTGGGGGAAGCGACCATTGCTTAAAGTGGTATGATACTGCCTTAAATAAGGTGAAGTTCTCCTATTTCACCAACAGTTATTTTTGCATTCTTTGAAGACTACCAATTTCTTTTCAATGGAAAAAATATATATTAATTTAATCCAGGGTTTAATGAGCAGCGGGGGGTGGGGGCGGGGGATACAGGAGGTAAACTAATTGCCTACTTTCTCCAAAGCAGCAGAACATTCAAATCCTATTCATAACCACACTCATAGACTGAATGTGGATACACATCTGGATGGAAAACACCCAATGACATTCCCAATATTAATGCAGGATATTTATATGGGCTTCTGTCATCAGTCTTGAAATCATAGAATCGTAGAATTGGAAAGGACCCAAGGGTCATCGTGTCCAACCCTCTGCAGTGCAGGAATCTCAGCTAAAGCATCCATGACAGACGGCCATCCAACCTCTCTTAAAAACCTCCAAGGAAGGAGAGTCCACAACCTCCAGAGGGAAACTGTTCCACTGTAGAACAGCTCTTGCTGCCAGAAAGTTTTCCCATATGTTCAGTCGGAATCTCCTTTCTTGAAACTAATGTAAACGAAGATCACTATCCTAGGTTCCTGGTGACATGTTACATAACAATTGCAAACTACTGTATCCGGATTGAGGCCAGGATCACGGGATACAATAAACCCACCACTATCTAATGCGTCGGCTTCCATTGAAAGGAATGGGAAATATTTAGTAGTGTAAGCATGAGACTGAAATCTCACTTGGTTGTATGGCTGATAATTTCCATAGATGTCGATGGGGCTGCTCACATTTAACTGATGAGGATCCACTCTCAGACATGGGCAGAATTTCCTGATTATAATGCTGGCACTTTTGTTCCATTGTCTAATGTTCCTCTCATACCTGTTGTGTTACGGAGATGTGACTTTTCACACCAGTGATTAATATGTCACGTAACAACATGGCTTCTCCCCCTCCCTTGGTGCACATGCATGCTTCTATCTCCCAATGAAAATGGTAGGAAAATATAGTGTGCTGTGCTGGGATCCTGCCCCAAATATTGTCACTTTACTCGCACAATTTCCTGGGTTAAGGGAGCTGCAAATGGATTTTTTTTTCTGGAATCAGGTCACATGGAAACGAGTGCTAAACGTGTGCCATATTCCATTAGTTTTCTGGAAGTGTCTTTTACATTACGTGTAAGCTCAAATACAATGAAGAAATAAGCAGTGAGGGAAACATCAGGGAAATGGAATAAACTGCTGTGTGGCTGCAGCCCTAATCTGCATGCAGTTAGTATAACGCAAAACACCTAGAATCCAGCTAGAAAGTGTAATACAATAATTTACAAATAATACATCTTTCTTTTCCAATTTTTTTTTTGAATCTGGTTTCTTTTACTGTTCTGTTCGTAGTGCCACAAATCTATTCAAAATGCCGCAGGGAATTTTTTAGAGGCGAGGGGGAGAGCAGCAGCTCCTGCACAGAGGCAACATTTGTAAATTCTGATCATTAATCATTTCCCCCAATAATTCAGTTTAATTTGACTATTGTGTGTTACGGTCATAAAACAAACACACACTTGATCATGACTGTAATTCAATCTCTGAATTATTGCCATGTGTTGCTATAAATGAATTATTTTTATGATGTTTTGCTCTTTTTTTAAAAAAAAGTCACTTTACTATATTTCATTTTGTGTGTCCAAAGGAACACAATCTTGAGGCAAAGGGAAATGTATCTTTCCTGCATCACCGAAGATCTGTGGCTTTTAAGAGAGCCATTAAGTAACCAGAGATTTTCGCTCTAAGACTCAAAACATTCTGTTTTGTTCACTAATGTGGCAAGTTCTCCTTACTGGGTTTATCTGTTAGATACAAATTACTGGAGAAGATTATGCTATTTGCTTGTAACTGTGTGGACTACAACTGATGGTAACTTGCTGCATTTTGACAACCAAAACGTAGGAAAAAATATGTCAAATCAATTGAGCCATTAAGGGTTTCTCGTTTATTTAGGTTTCTTTATGCACAGTTATATTTCTTTCTCCGTTAGTGGATCAGATCTATGGTTCACATCCACCAGGAAGAAAGGGTTCAGCTTTGTGGGCCTGATTCTGTGGAACTCCCCTTTGCAATCAGATATGCCTTTCCCTGCTGAACTTCAGGTGCTGGGCAAAGATATTTCCATTTCAGCAGGCATTTTATGAAATTCCATGAGCAAGCATAATACAGCTTATGTTTTTACTTGTGGGTTTTGTTTTAAACGCTGAATTATTTTGATTGATGGGTATCTTCATTGAGGGTTGTGTACACTGCTTTTGTGACTATCTATGGTGCAAAGCTTTCCCAGAAATATCAGAAGTAAAATAGAATTAAAAAAGCTTGTTCACCCTAAAAGCACTGCACTATTTATACTTCAATCCAGTCCACACGTTTCTTGGGATTTGGACCGACTTGGGATACTGTCTGTCTGCCGAGAAAGAAACTACTGCATTTTTGCATTGTCTCTCATCCCTGAACATTCCTTATGACACAAATGAATCATTACAAGTTTCACTCACATATTGTATCAGAAATGGGGAAAATAATCAAGTAAAGCAACAATAGGGCGGAAAATCCATGGAAAATGAGATTTTGGCTGCTTGAAATGTGACAGTAACTATGCTGGAAGCTGTTACGAGAAGAGTTGTGTATATAAGCCTCCCATAAATAAACATCTGTTAAGGGAGATAAAGATCCTGTTGAGAGTCTAATTGGCCTTTAACTCAATGCCATGTTAGCCAGATGAGGCGCAGGCCTAAAGTGAGTTTCAAGCTATGGCTATGAAGGCGATTCTGTTTAGAATTAGCCACTGCCCTAGCCACGAGCGTGCCTACATTTAGGGTGCTCGCATGCAGCAAGAGGAGCAGGGACGTGCTTCTGGTCCCCTCTCAATGTCACAATCCCAGTGGTTCTGTCAGAATTGGGAATGCTCAGACTCATGGAGCAGAAGCAGAACTCTGGGTGGTAGTGGGGGTTTGTGGTAACCAAGGATGGAGGCTCTCCCGCTTTCGCCTCTCCCATGGAGCGTAGAGCTTCATTTGAGCTGCAGGAGGCAGAGGCTGTTGTTGTTTAGTCGTTTAGTCGTGTCCAACTCTTCGTGACCCCCTGGACCAGAGCACGTCACACACTCCTGTCTTCCACTGCCTCCCCGCAGCTTGGTCAAACTCATGCTGGTAGCTTCGAGAAACCATCCAACCATCTCGTCCTCTGTCGTCCCCTTCTCCTTGTGCCCTCCATCTTTCCCAACATCAGGGTCTTTTCCAGGGAGTCTTCTCTTCTCATGAGGTGGCCAAAGTATTGGCGCCTCAGCTTCATGATCTGTCCTTCCAGTGAGCACTCAGGGCTGATTTCCTTAAGAATGGATAGGTTTGATCTTCTTGCAGTCCATGGGACTCTCAAGAGTCTCCTCCAGCACCATAATTCAAAAGCATCAATTCTTCGGCAATCAGCCTTCTTCATGGTCCAGCTCTCACTTCCATACATCACTACTGGGAAAACCATAGGGAAGGACGCAGCATTGTTGTCAAGGACCAGGTGCCACTCTCCATAGATGGGAACAGACTCACCCTCCCAGAGTGTGCATTTATAACCTCAGCAGTCTTGCACGGCAAGAGAGCCAAGCAAACAAGCACACCGGACCTGGCCTTTAAAAGCTTGGTGGGAGGGGTGTGGAAATTGGTTGGGGCATCCTGGTTGCTCCTGCTCAGTTCTGAACTTCTTTGTCTGGCTCCTGAACTCCTGACACCTGCTGAGCCTGTATCATTACTTATGTGAATGAAGATCTCTGTAAGAGCCCCTGTCATCGTGTTTTGGGCAGGAGTCAGGACTCGCTCATGCAAGGAAACCTGCAAACAGGACAAGAGTCTAGCATCGATGAGCGCAGAATCACACATCACAGTCAAACCTTGGAAAGGAGGTGGGGATTTTGAATGTGACAATGGTGGAAAAGAGGCAGATGGTGTGCCCATGGCACATTTTCTTCGAAAATTAGGGAGGTTATGTTGGCACAAGGGTGTAGTATAGAACTCCCATGCATGTGAGTTCATCTAGAAATTCCTATTTCTCTGCTAGATCAATATGCTTTTTTGAATCTTTCTTTTTCTCTTTTGTACCTTGTCCTTCTGGAGTTTCGCCAAAGGGATTCACTTCAACTTGAGTGGCATCAATTTTCAGGAAAAGGTTGTACAGCTTCTTAATTTGATCGGCAGCCTAAAGTTGAAAAAAGTGGTGCATAATTACACAAAAGGAAACCAGCGGAGGCGGGCAGAGAATTATCCTGAATTAAGACGCTAAAGATGTTTGTATTTTCTGCATCAGTGTAAAAGCAGCTACAAAAAGTTAATGACATAATAACCTTCCTTTATGAAACACTAATGCTATCTATTGCTTTTAAATCAGTGGCCGATTATTTTAGCCAGGAGGAAATGGAATGCTGATTTGAAACGTCAAACATTACAGAGGCTCACTCTTCGCAGTGCACTAAATAGAACTTTGTAGTTAAAAAAAGAGAGAGAGAGCAGTGTCATTAATTCAAACAAACTTAATTTAAGCACAATGAACCAAGTTTGAGAGTTGATAATGAATACATTATGCTGATATTGAAGTTAAAGTGATTACCTTAATGAGACTAAATTCAGAAACTGTGAAGCAATATGCAGCTGACAAATGCAGATTAGTTGCTGAATTTGTTTGGAAAATGTATAAACCCTCCCTCCCAGCATCAAAATGCAACTCTGACTGAAGAAACAATTGTTGAAAAGTTGGCTTCTTTGCTCTCTAAACTCAGCGCTTATCTGTTTTCTGGTAAGCCGCATTGACACACGATCAGAACTAACTAAATAACTGCTGCATATTCCTTAAATGTAATTGTAAAAAAGCAAATAGGGAGGACACTATTTAGAAACGGCATTAACTTCATGATCTGCTGAGCCTTTTATAATCGCCCACAACCGGGAGCAACGGAACAGGGGCTGGTTTATCTAACAGTTTGTTCCTCTGTGTCATTATATTGGGGAATCAACAACTGCACATCAACAACCGTAAGCCTCTAAAAGAATCAGCTAGCCTCTGGTTGCCAACTCCAAGGCTAAACAGAAGTATGGACAGACTGATGTCTGTAGCTGTCTTGGGGAAGAAAGAGCATGTGCCCCCCCCCATGTGCCACATCATCCCTCCAGTGGTCCTACCTTGAAACAAACTGCTGACCTGGTAACAACATAGAGGAAGCTGTTCATAAAATAACTGCATGGGGAATCTTAGCCCTTGGATGCTCGTCTCTAAAGCAGGGATGGGGAACTGGTAACCCTCCAGATGTTGCTGATCTCCTATCAGCTTGGCATGCAGAAGGTGCCAGGTTCAATGCAGAGCCATTTCCAGGTAAAGTTGGAAAAACTCCTGCATGAAAGCCACTGCCAGTCAGCTTAAGACCGAGCTAGATGGATCAGGGTCTGCCGCAGGGTAAGGCAGCTTTCTAGGCTGAGAGACGCTGGGCAAAGTACTCTCTGGTAGGCCTCATCCTCTGTTGGTGGAGCTGCTCATTCAAAATTTATTTGATTGATTGATTGATTGATTTCTATACTGCCCTTCATCTAAAGATCTCAGGGCGGTTCCCAAGATAAAAGCACAGATAAATAGTTAAAACAGAAACAACAAAACAATAACACTTCCCACAGGCACAATTAAAAGGCCATAGAATCAGCCTAAGGCCTGGTTGAAGAGGAACATTTTCGCCTGGTGCCTAAAGATATACCGTATTTTTCGCTCTATAAGATGCACCAGACCACAAGACGCACCTAGTTTTTGGAGGAGGAAAACAAGAAAAAAAATATTCTGAATCTCAGAAGCCAGAACAGCAAGAGGGATTGCTGCGCAGTGAAAGCAGCAATCCCTCTTGCTGTTCTGGCTTCTGGGATAGCTGCGCAGCCTGCATTCGCTCCATAAGACGCACACACATTTCCCCTTACTTTTTAGGAGGGAAAAAGTGAGTCTTATAGAGCAAAAAATACGGTATAATGAAGGTGCGAGATGAATCTCCCTGGGGAGAGCATTCCACAAACAGGGAGACGCTGCAGAAAAGGCCTGTTCTCATGTTGCCACCTTCCAGACCTCACGTGGATGGAGGAGGCAATGAGAACCGTTCTTTAAAGGCCTTGACTGATGTTCTCTGCACAAAAGGTGGCTTGTATAAGTGAGAACCAGTGGCCTAGGGAGTTTTGAGGAGAGCAGTAATTGCCGGAGACAGCACTAGATGGCTGAACACCGCCATGTTAATTTCCCACAGTGCCCCAGAGCAACCGTACGATGATCAGGGACATTTGGGGGGAATGAAAATGGCAGCTGGGTTTAGCCATGTGGTGCTGCTCAAAGCATGGAGCTGGGGGGAGGGCAGGCATCAGCAGTGGGTTCTCCCGGCTGCCCAAGGATTCCACATGCTGATGCCATAAGTGATTTAGTGACTACTTGTAGCTGTTCATAGTTTACTTCATCCCAACGGTGCTTATGGTTCTCACTGAAGCCACTTTTGTGCACAGAACATCAGTCAAGGCCTTTAAAGAATGGATCCAATTCTAATTTGAATGAACTGCTCCACACGACCAAAACTAAACCCCAAATGTTTTGAATCTGAAGAACAAACGGCAGTTCCCTAACCATACGTTTTATCAAATGAAGTATTTACCATGTTTATAGTAAAGTTCTCCACATTAATGTTTGAAATAATTTGGATACTAATGGATATTGTTAGTATAAACTGAAATTTAGCCCACCCTGCAAAAAAACACCCCACAAGCCAGTCGTCAAGCAGTATTAAGATTTGTCACAAGGACTCCACAGTATGTTAAACGGAAGAATTTCACTATTGTACTAACTAGAATTCTTCTGGCATCTACCTACTGGGGAATATAAACGATTATGATAAGACCAAATTAAATAGACCTTTGATTGTACTGATGTAGCCATTATGTTTCTATGCTCCAGTAAATCACACTGCAAAGGTTATAGCACATGGGAAGAAATGTATTAGCTGTTGTTTAGTTAAGCAGTTCATGCATTGTGCTAATAATTAAGTGCTAGAACATGCAAAGCTAGAAAGATTTAATAATAATTCTCTCTCATTAAAGATACTGCTAAATCTTCAAATGGGTGTTAATCATCTTAATGATTATGCATTTGTTAATTGCACAGTTGGGATAGAAATTAATTAGAAGTGGTGTATTAAAAATTCAAAGGTTTTACAAAAGTGGCATTTTGATGATATGGGAAATCCTGTGCAAAACCCCTCACAAAAAAACAATTTATCATCCTTCTCTTCCCAGAGCAGTAAAATAAAGATTAAGCTAGTTGCAAAACAGGCCTGGTGGCTTGCATTTTCATGCTCCCATTTTGGAACATGAATGATAAATTTTAAGAGGAGTGAAATGCATGCTGAGAATCTACCATCTACAAAATGGCAAGCTTTTGCTTTTCAGTAATAACCTGAAGAAAACTGCAGGGGGAAAATTCTGTAGAAAAATTGCAGAAGAGAGCTGTGTAGTGGCAAAAAGATCAACACTGCATTCCAGAGCCATTTTAATCAGCAGGCATCTTCACACTGATTTTTCAGGATTGGCTACCCTGGAAGGGATGGCCAGGGACATTTCTCTTAAGCATCCAGTGGAAGACTGAAGTGCTACCTGTTTATATATTTGTATTGTATTTGTTATTTTATGGTTTGCTGCACTGGGCTACTTTGGGAGGAAGGGCAGAGTAGAACTGAAATTAAAATAATTAATTAATATACAGTCGTACCTCGGAAGTCGAACGGAATCCGTTCCGGATTGGAAGTCCGACTTCCAAAACATTCGGAAACCAAGGTGCGGCTTCCGATTGGCTGCAGGAAGCTCTTGCAGCCAATCGGAAGCTGTGTTGGACGTTCTGGTTCCAAAGAATGTTCACAAACCAGAACATTGGCTTCCGGGTTTGTGGTGTTTGGGAGCCAAAACATTCAACTCGCAAGGCATTCAGGATCCAAGGTATGACTGTAATTTATAATTATAATATATAATATAATATAATAATATAAATCTCCATTGTTATGCAGAGTAAAAAATGGACAGTTTGTATACTGTGGATGCATGTAATTTTGTACAGTGGTACCTCACATTCGTTCCGGAGGTCCGTTCTTAACCTGAAACTGTTCTTAAACTGAAGCACCACTTTAGCTAATGGGGCCACCTGCTGCCGCCGCGCTGCCAAAGCACGATTTCTGTTCTCATCCTGAAACAAAGTTCTTAACCTGAAGCACTATTTCTGGGTTAGCGGAGTCTGTAACCTGAAGCGTATGTAACCTGAAGCATCTGTAACCCGAGGTACCACTGTACACTCTACATACAGCCGTTGGGGTACCTCTTGGCATTGTCCTCATCATAAAGCTGCCCCCAGGAGCAGGGATTTGCGAACAATTACAAATGGTGAAAATTCCTGTGTACTGGAGAAAGTAAAGCACCATCCCTTCACCTACATATGGGCCACTGATGCTGTTTCTTGGTCATGGGACGTGATGGAATTCTGGGAATGAGCTTCTGGAAAGACGGACAGGGAAGCACAATACAAGGTAATGCCTGAAGAAAATAGGAGGTCATTTCCAGTAAGCAGTGAAAGGCTTATTGGGTTGGGTTCAAACTTAGTCCAGCTCAGAGTAGTTCCATTTATTTCAACGGTTGTACGCTCAGCAAGCCTACATCTAGATCCTACCTATTTGTTATCCCAAACCAAGTAGGCATCCTCTAAGAATAGATTCTTAGGATGAAGCCAACCAAGTTACACTCAAGAGCTGAACCACTGAAATCAATTATTGCAATCAACTTAAGTCCGTGGATTTCAAAGGATCTGCTCCAAGTACAGTGGTACTTCGGGTTACATACGCTTCAGGTTACATACGCTTCAGGTTACAGACTCTGTTAACCCAGAAATAGTACCTCAGGTTAAGAACTTTGCTCCAGGATGAGAACAGAAATCGTGCAGCAGCGGCGCAGCGGCAGCAGGAGGCCCCATTAGCTAAAGGGGTGCTTCAGGTTAAGAACAGTTTCAGGTTAAGAACGGACCTCCGGAACGATTTAAGTACTTAACCTGAGGTACCACTGTATGATTTAGTTGGAACCCGTATTTTGAACACCGATTGTCTGCCGTAACTCCTAAATGAGAAAGGAAACCAGAGGCGGTGGTATCCCATGAGCTCTGATGCCACCAAGGTCACTGCCACACTGGGTGCAATCCTCCCTATGTATGAAAAGTTCCTGGAACTCCAGAGAACTACTGAGTGGGAAAGGGTCCCAGACATCTGAATGCAGTCACGGTTTTGCTCCTGGTAAAATTTACCTGCTGTTGCAGAGGTCCCTTGAATCCCAGATTTTCTGCCAGCCGTTGGGCTTGAAGATCCTTCACCCCTTCAAAAATATCTATTTCCTCCTGTTGCAATAAAGTGCACAAAACAGAACTAAGATATTCAGTTTGAAAACAGACCCATAACTTCAAAAGCACCCCCAAAATGCTTAATATATATTTGCAAGTTATTAATTAAAATGTGGCAAGTTGCCAAAAGTCTGAGACTGAGGCTATAGCAGCTGCCTATAGGGTATGTTATAATTACTTTGCCAGCCAGGGAAGAGAGTCCCTCCAAAAAACTATGTAATTCTTCAGGGTGGCATGCTGACAAGACAATCTGACACCAGTTTTCACTTTTAATTACTGTACAGATGGCATCGATGAATACTTAGTCTGTTAATTTTTGTGACTGGTTCTGGCAAGGAACCAGAGCACTGGTGTCAATGCCCGGTAACGTTTCTCTGTTTGTGTACGTTTCAAATGTGCATTATGGAACTCTGCATGCATGTACCGTTAGCTCACCAAATATATAAAAGGGATCCTTGTTGCTAAGTGACTGTCTCATGATAAATACTTTTAAGACAGTAACCACTATTAGAAGGTCATAATACAATCAAGCATTCCAGTACAGTAACATGAAATAACAACTAGCTCTAATGTGAGGGAAAACCGGCATTTCATAACAGCAAGTAAACCATTTGTATTGCTACGGAGCGAAAGAGTATTTTCTTGCTGAGGGGGCAACAGAGGCTAATTTATAGAGGAGCAGAACCAGATAGATAGCTACAGCTGGACAATACACTTCAGACTATAAGGGAACAATACTTGTTTGTTGGGATGCTCCCCTCATGAAATTGCCTCTATGATTGTGGAAGCCAGGCACCTTAACACTCCATTTTTCTTTTTCCTCAGAGGTAAGCCCCACTGTGTTCAACCTAAAGTGACCATTCTCTTTAGTTTGGAAAACCAGCAGAATCTGGTGGCAAACATTCTCTTAGAATGTGCCCCTTTAGGCTGCAGGTGAGGTGTGGAATATTAAGAGCTTTGTTTTGGTCCAGGAGGAGATGGCTTAACTTGGGTTCAGATGACATGCTAAGCTGGAAGTTGGCTTAGCTGCCATGCTGAGCTAAAGTAAAAGGACTGGGAAGGAGCAGAGCGAGTGTTAAGCTCCTCTCAGGGATTTGCAGTCCTGGGAAGTCATCGTTTGACTTGCTATGACACTCCTCTGTCAGGAGAAGTGTCTGTGAACACATGAAGCTCTGCAATACTTTGTCCTATCTATCCCAGAAGCTACTCTGAGTAGCCGAAACTCTTCAAAGTCTCTGCAAACTGTAATTTTTTCAACTGGAGATACCAGAATTTCAGCCTAGGGTCATCTCCACGCAAAGCACCCTGAACTCTGACCCCTCCGATAAAACGTGTTTGGCACATGAACAGCCCATTCTGCAATGCGCCATATGAACATATCTTGTATGCATGGAGACTGCGAGCCATATAACTGCAAACTCTGAAATGGCAGGGTTCTATGTGGGCCACTATGTGCATGGTCTCTGTGAGCAGCGGGCGAAGCTGGCCCCTGCACACACATTCACTGTACACACAGAGGACCTGATCTAATAGCGGCAAAGAATAAATGGATCAACTCAATCTGCATTTGAGCACTGGTATTGTAATAGTTAGATGCATACACAGTTGAAAGACTGCAAAAGAAGTGATAGTTGTCAGGGATGTCGTAACTTAGCAGTAGGGAACTTCCAGACCAGGATCTTTGTTAGATGCTCCAGTCCTCCCCATTTGACCAGCGAGGTGATTTCATCCAAGGCAAGCCATGACCACCTTCCCCACACATGACACCATCAGCTGTACTCATTGGTGGGGATTGCAAAGAACAATGTTTTTGCCTGCATGATTTGGGTCAGAGCTGCCCACCAGCCAAACTTGGTCCACAGGGGAATGGGAGATAATGATGTGGATCCAATCCAGTACCACAGCCATAGCTGACAATCTCCAACACAGTTTCCCATTTGTACAGTAAGCTGCCCTTTGCTGTTCCTAATGAAACCAAACCAAACCAAGTTAGACCTGTTATTGTGTGCTGTATGAACCTGGCTAAAGGAACTCAACACACCAAGTTTGCTTTTTCATGATATTGGAAGAAATTTTCAAGCTGGGGTCATGGGAAGCTCCAATTTCCCATACAAGGTTTGCTGGTGTAAATAATAATAATAATAATAATAATAATAATAGTGCAAAGATTTTTAAAAACTTAAGTCACCAAGCTTTGAAATGTACCTTGAAGATGAGTTCCGGGCTTTTAGCTGCCACTTCTTCTATATCAACCCCACCTTGTGGGCTGCCAACCAGAACAGGTCCATTGCAAGCTCGATCCATTAATATTGCAAAGTAAGTTTCTCTTGAAATGTCTAGTGCTTCTGCCACCATGACCTGCAAAGTACAATTTGGCAATGTATTATTAGCACGTCTTTGCTGGCAATATCCAACGGAGACAGTATTTCGTTAGCTGCGCTGGAAATTCAGGCTTCCGAGTGAGGAAGTGGCCATTATTCAGAGAGAACACATTGTACTGTAATAAATGTGCACTGAAGTTCGACTTACATTCTTGAATCCATCATTGATTTCTCTCGTCACGGAAGAAATCAATGACTTCATTAGGACATTGGTATCATACAGTTCCTTTCCATTTCATTTTCCTCAGGATTATGGAAATAACCCACAATGGAGATGAGAGCGCACAAGAGGAGAAACTACCACAAACTAAGGAGGGACGTTTTCACAAGTTATTTGAAACAAATGCAGGAACAGTCTACTTACCTAGGTCCTATTAGCAAGCCCTTACATCAAAGGAAATAAAAATAAGAGAGAAATTTTAAAGGGGCAATTTTAACTTTGTCCAAAGCTGAGAACGATGGGAGAATTATCTTACATCTTCTTCTTTCAGAAACCTGAGGGTTTCCTGTGAAAGTTAGGTTAGGCTGAGAAACAATGACTGGTCTGGTCCAAGGTCTCCCAGTGAGGTATTTATGGCTGAGCAGGGATATGAATGAACCCAAATGGCAGTGTTTTGTTGATATCCCATATATTTGTTTTTGCTATTTTCCCATTTCTGAGAATCTCTCTCTCCCCTCCCTCCCCTGACACTTAACAAGGGCTTTTGTTTCAGCTGGAACTCAGTTCTGGCACCTCTCAGGTGGGCATCATTGCCATTATAAGAGATCAAGGGAGGTGTTTGTGGTAAGTTCTGGCACTTCTTTTTCTTGAAAAATAGCACTTCATATATCCCTCTTTTTATCTAGATTTTGTACCTCCTTCCTTCCTTCCTTCCTTCCTTCCTTCCTTCCTTCCTTTCAAAACAAAAAAAGCACGCAACCATTTTTTTAAAGCCTTGGCATTTGAAGAAATTAATACAAATACAGTATGCTCTAATTTGTTGCAGTAATTCAGGCACAGATTTCTGGCTGAACAGAATTCAGATCTTTAAAAATATAATAACAACAATTGCAATAATAATAATAATAGTGGTTTGTGCACGACATTGCATATACCCATTTGTCCCTTGCAATCCTCCTCTGCTGTGTTATCTGTTACTTATGATGGCTCTGTTCTACTTCAGTATGCCTCTGAATGCTAGTTACTAGGAATCACAAGTGGGGAGAGTGCTGTTGCGCTCAGTTCCTTCTTTCCCATAAGCAACTGGTTGGCCACTGTGAGAAGAGGATGGTGGACAAGATGGGCAATTGGCCTGATCCAGAAGAGATCTTCTTAGGCTCTTATACAGGCTTGCGGTGGTCTCCTTCACCACACTATGCTGTTTGAATACAACTGGCCTGTGGCATGCAATGTTCACCCAGCTCATAACAATCATTTCTGTATTGGTCCCTCTTACTCTGCGGTTGCACATAGACAGGCCCTGCTCATGGGCTTCCTAGAGGTATCTGGTTGGCCAGGGTGGAAAACAGGAATCTGGACTTCAGAGGCCTTTGATCTGATCCATATCAAAGGTTCCCGAATGGCTTAGTTGTTGAACAAATTAGCTCCCGAACACCATAAACTCAGAAGTAAGTGTCCTGGTTTGCGAATGCTTTTCAGAAGTCGAACGTCCGACATGGCTTCCACGGCTTCTGACTGAGTGCAGGAAGCTCCTGCAGCCAATAGGAAGCCGCGTCTTGGTTTTCGAATGGTTTCAGGAGTCGAACGGACTCCCGGAATGGATTAAGTTTGAGAACAAAGGTACCACTGTAATGCCTTATATTATTCTCCTAATGCTTTGAGAAGAGGTGGAAACTCAGCATTCTAATCTATATGCCAACATATCCCTTCCCCTCAATTGCTTTTGAAAATCAAATAGGCTTCAACTCAATATATACCCTAGATTAAGGAATAAAGAGGGCATGAAAACGCATTTTTAGCGGCTGCGCCATACTGACAGCACTTCCACCTCTTAGAAATCTTAGCATCTTTCAGGAGCTCTACAAGATATATCCGTGTAGACTGGCTTTTGTGAATGCTCTTTTACTTTGCACTGTATTATTTCTGCTCCAAGCCTTCAAGATGAGGACCGCTATGAATTTAAATGAATGAATGGAATCCTGTATTTAGAACCCATTACTGAGAGGTTGTGCAATATCTTCCAATGATCTACCATGACATTGAAGTCTTTTTTTAAAAAAAATAATCACCCAGATCTTTAATTCAAACTTTAATAAAGTTAATTCCCTAATTGCTTGGAGAAAAGGGACAGGTAGTGAGTTGTGATAAACGGAAACTGTCTTTGCAGATAACCAGGTTCTCCAAATGCCATGAGGCCGTAAGAGAATTTTATGTAAACCTATAAAATAGCTGCCAACTTCTGAAGGAGCCGAGGGGAGTGCTGTTTATTTAAGACAGATTGATCTTGCACCAACATATTAAGCATTACTTCAGGGAAAGGAAAGTCTTTACTTTCTAAAGCTCATTTGTTGATAAGGACATCATCTGTACTCAGGACATAAACCACAATGTTCCTAGTTCCTCCCTCCCAGCAAGCCTCAGAACTGTAGCTTCATTGGGTTGCCGAGAATTCTGCATTTGTGGTTCTTGCTACCACTTGCAGGATCACATCCCCAGGCTTCTGGGAGCAGCGGTGGGGTGGGTATAAAACAGAGGCAGCAATAGAGGTGGAGAGGAAGTAAGTCCAATATTTCACAATCCTCGCTACAGAGTGAATTTTATAGTGTTTGACATCTGCCAAATATGTCTAACATTTTAAAATAATTACTGTGGTCCCAAATGGCCCCAAACACACACACATGCATTCAATTCATGGACTACAGAAGGTTAACACAGGAGACTGTGTGCCATTTAGCACATGGCAGCCAGTGTGGCGTAATGGTTAGAGGACTGGACTATGACCTGGGAGACCAGAGTTTGAATCTCACTTGGTGACCTTGGCCCAGTCACCATCTCTTAGGCTAACCTACCTCACGGGGTTTTCATGAGGATGAAATGGGGAGGAGGAGAACCCAGTGTACCACCTTGAGCTCCTTGGAAGATAAAGTTGGCATTTAAATGTAATAAACAAACAAACAAACAAACATGACATGCTTCTGTCCTTGTAAGCTTCAAGGAAAGCTAGAAAGGTGAGATGAAAGAAGGGGAATTGTTTGTTGTGGATAAATCCACATGTATTCGCAATGACTAGGGAGTGCGCAAAATGGACTTCAAATAGGAAATAGATTGTGCTCCATGTCTTTTGAAAACAGGTCAAAGTAGTTGCTCTGATTCTTTCTTTCTGTACTGAAATGGCCATTCCAATGAAGGAAAGCAGAGATCTACATGTACGGGAACCAAAGAACTTGCAATTATCTGACTCGGGGCAATGAGTTTAATCTATGGCCAAGTTCCATGAGGTGTCCTCAACAGACTTGTAACCTCTGCTCCTCATATTTATGATCATTTTTGTCTGAGCAAATGGTTTTTTACAGTGACAGACCAAATCATTTTAGCAGCAATTCACTTTTAATGTTCCAACTTGTATTCATCTTTCTTCAAGTATGGTTGAGAAATTAGACACAAAATTCAGATGCGTCAGCAGGACAGAAACACCCTTCTATGCCATTCAATGGGCTGAATCTGCCCTCTTTGAAACGGTACCACTTTGATGGCTTATAGTTGTTAACGAGCACGGCTTTGGAGCAAATCTACATGCTTGATGTTGGTGATCATCCCACAAGCTGTGGAATGGGAAGGGGGAAAGAAGTGTCTCATGACAGAAATAGGCCTGATAGACTATACTGAGGGCAGAAATGTTCAGAAGGCCTTAGCCAAGCTCAGACAATACACCAGTGTGAATAAGAATACGTTCTAACTTTTCTAAGTTGCAGTGTGTTCACTGGCCTTCTGAGGCTGTCATTAAAACAAATCTTCTCCAACAATTGTTGGCCTTTGGAGCCCTGTCTAGTCAATATTGTCTCGTCCATTGGGACACTTTAACAACCTTTTCGATAGCCGTCTTGTGATGGCTCATAGTCATCTTGTGATCCACGAATAAATAGCATTATCCTTCCCCCTCGCCATTCCCCTCCAGCTGATTTGGGCTCATCTCATTGCAAAAATACTCAGCGTTGGTTCCCAAATTACTTGACATTGCCTCCTACCTTAATGTCATCTGCAAATTCCATCAACATGCTTCTCCATCCCTTTCTCTCACCCACACTAGTCATTAATAAAAACTGCCCACACAGTTGGGTCACTTAAACATTTTTTTTCAGCTGCGCAGGAGCTCTTGACAGATAAGCAGCTTCCACGCGGTTGGGAGAACATCAAAAGGGCACTTCAGTGCACATTCATTTGAATAATCTGTTCTAAACATACAAGGCTTTCATTTCATATCGATTTCAGAAGAAAAGCAGAAAGCCTGCTTTTCAAGCCTAACCATCTAATAATGGATGTGCAATATTTCAATTGCAAGTGAAAGAGAAACATTTCCCTGTCAGTGTACCAAAGGCAGTTTTTAAGCAGTAACTGGAGAGATATGGGCCCTTTTTAGAGCACATGCATTTAGGAAAGTGGGTGTCATTTTCATGCACCTAAAACATCCTGGCAACGATCCTGCACACAATTATTACAGATCCAGTGAAATCAATGTGACTTCTGCACATAAAAGGGAGCAGTTAACTGCAGGCTGGGATAAACGTTTTAAGTCAAGAATGCTTTATTATTATCTGCTTATTGCATTTAGCATTCATTGGGCATAATCTAGTTCCTGCTTTTTCTGCTAGATGATTGCTTGTTATTAACTTCTATTTGCCAAGCCTCCCTTCACACTCTCAAGCCCTCTTCCTGATAATCCCACCGTATCAAGTCCATATCAGCCCTGCATCCATCAGACAGCTAGCTTTCCTGTGAAAAGGATGGGCAACTGTTTCATATTCCCAGAATCTCCAGCTAGGGCTGGGAAAGGCCTATCTGAGACCCTGGAGGACCGATGCTAGTCAGTGTCAACGGTACTGAGGCAGATGGACCAATTGCCTCACTCAGCACAAGACATATTGCAGTGCATCCACTAGTTTCAAGCTACACCTGACAACATTTATTATGATTTGCAGGTGGGGGACTCTCTTACCTTCTGAACTTTGACACCACCCTTAGGAGTTTGCTTCGTGGTGAGATTGTATCCAATCATCTGTTCAGCAAGCTCCCCTACCACTTTAGGGCTAAAAAAGGGAGAGAGAAAGGCAAAAATATACATTCAGATGAATGGGTTAAAAAACAAAAACAAATAATATTGCTGTAATTTCCCAACTTACTCCTTGGTTAGATGCACTCCTCCTTTCAGCCCGCTGCTGAAAACACCTTTTCCTCTTCCTCCGGCCAAGATTTGAGCCTTCAACACAATTTCTGTAGCATCTGTGAAACAAAACGCAAGGCACGTTGTTGTGCGATCCAAACCATGTTGTCGTGCGACCCACCACAACTGGGACAGCCCCAAAGAGAAATGTCCCCTTTGGGTCACTACTGGTCACTCCATCAGACTGCAATGAGGGTGAGGACACATCTCTTGGGAAACTGTTTGTGGATGGGCACACACCTAGATGAGAAATGGGAGCAGACTAGGAGTGGAGGGGGTGGAGATATGAGTTAACCTGACTTCTAAGTACAATGCTTGGAAGCTGTGTCAGTAGTGAGAAAATGAATATATCTTCATTCAGTGTACAAATGTATATTCAGTGTGATGGATGGGTGTTAGGTGACTTTGCTATTTTATGCTTCTTTGATTGGTCTGTTGTATTTTTATTGTATTTCTCTTTTGGATTGTTCACTGCTTTGGGGCCATTTTGGTCAAAAAGTGACATATTAATTGTAATGTAATACAATGTACTCTTCTACCCAGCTATTTGTTTCCCTTGCTCTTTACGTTTTGCTGCTGTGCTCTGTCCTTGTTCTACTAACCGATGGTGATTTTATAGACAGGCTATTTAATGGTTTGAGGGATTTTAATATGAATGCATTTTGTGAACGAATTTATTGTCTGAGTCTGTTGTGCACCACTCCGAAAGGCAAGTGGTCAACGATTTTTAATAAATAAATAAAATTTGAAAATTAGTTTTTGCCTCTTCCCTAGACTGTCCTTCATCCAAAGTATAGCAGGGTAGCGCACGCCAGTGGCGTAGCGTGAGGGTGCAGGGGGGGCCGGCCGCACCGGGCGCAACATCTGGGGGGACGCACTCATACTCGCAGCTCTCTGCCCCTACCTGGCTCACTCACTCTCTCTCAGAGCCGGGCGCAAAGCCCAGCCCCCTCAAGCTCCGCCCACCACCAACCCGGAGCAGAAGCAGTTGCCATGAGATGGGCGGGGCTTGAATGAAGAGCGTTCCAAAGCGGAAATCTCGTTCCTATTGCGGCACGTGATGGGGAGGAATCGGGGAGCTTCGAGCGACTTTTGTGGGCGGGGCTCGTGCCGCTGCTGTGATTGAACGCCGGGGCGGGCCGCTCCGCCCGTGACAGAACCGGGCCTTCGCCTGGGCCATTGTCGGCCAGCTGAAGGGTAGGGGGGCGCGCTCGCGGGCGGGCAGGTGGGCAGGTAGTGTCCGGGCTGAGGAGGGCCGCTCTTGCGCGACGCCGTGGATCCCTTGCTTGCGCAATGCTCCGCGCGCGTGACCCGCCGCGTTCTTGGTCGTCGCCCCTTTTCGTACCTCGGGATAAATACGCTTCAGGATAAGTAGTTTCGGGTTGCGCTCTGCGGTGACCTGGAAGTAATGGAGCATGTTACTTCTGGGTTTTGCCGCTTACGCATGCGCAGACGATCAAAATGACGTCACGCGCATGCATGGAAGCGACGAAACGCGACACGCGCAGATGCACTGTCGCGTCTTACGTTCTGTTCAGGATGCGAACGGGGCTCCAGAATGGATCCCATTCGCATCCCGAAGTACCACTGTACTGTACTACCACTCCTGTCTTAAGACACAAAGTTTTCAATTGACTTTTAAATACCCTCAGTGAGGAGAACGTTGTATTTCCAAAGGGATGGCATTCCAAAATCTGGAAACTGTTGTGGAAAAGGCCCTCCCCCTCCCCCGGTGATATTGGGCCTTGCCCATCAATGGACCATGGGGAGAGCCTCCCTGTCAGAACACAGAGCTCTAGGGCAGATATGAGAGAAGGAGGTTCTTTTTCTAGTGGGGGGGCCTGCTTTGCGTAGTATGGGTTCGTACACTAACATTCATATTGGGCCTAGTAGTGAATGGGCAGCAGGTGCAGCTCCTACGAATTAGGTGAATATGGGTTCACCAGGTAGCCCTACACAAAGCACATGACAGAAGTCCAGGCCTGAAGTCGCATGAGCATGGATCATTGTGGCCAAGCAACCCTATCTCAGAAGGGGCAACCAGTCTACGTCGGAAATATGCACACATGGCCTCTGAGGCCACCTGGACCGCAAGCAGCAAAGCTGGATCATGGAGTGCCTCCAAACTGTGCGACTCCATCCAAACGGAGATTCCCACTGACATCACCCCACCCCACCCAAGCTGCTACTATAAAAGAAGTGGGAGATCTAAGATTCGACGCTCCTGCATCATATCTGGCTTGTTACTGAGAATCCTAGGAGATCTATGCATACAGAGCTTGCAACGGGATTGATGAGTTAAATTTTGTGTGTGTGTTTTCCTATTATGAAAGCATAAAATTTAAGCCAGAAAAAGAAATTACATTCTCCCCTCCACACAGCTTGTCGGAGGTGTGCACTAGAAAAGATCTGCTTCCCAAGCACTTATTTTTTGACACGTATCACTTTGAACCTTAAATCCTTCCCCTTGAAGATCTGCCGTGCATTCCAATACCCCCCACCCCCCGCTTTCCCCCATCCCCAGCTCTTCTATAATTCATGCCGCCAAAAGGCACATAACAAGGAAATTTAAATGCAACCAAAAAATCAAATAAAAAACGAATCCAGTTTCATATCTGTGTTGTCTAAGCATACAAATTATTAAGATGAATTTTTTAAAAATAAGCCACTTTCCAACTGACGATAGCAAAAGTCAGGAATTGCTCCGTCCGCTGTGATAAAACATCTATTTTGGCATTGTTAATAGACGCTACGAGCATTTAATTAGATTACTTTGAGTCGCTAACCATCCCGACAATGAAAGCCTTGTATGCACCATGGTAAGTGCTGTCAATTATGACTGCGATCATTACCCTTTGTGCCACAGGCTCTTCAGGCCAAGTCAGTTGCATTCATAGCCTGCATACTGATTACTTTTTACTTGGCAACAACAAATAAGGAGAGAAGACAGACTGAGAGAGAGGGGTAAGGGAAGGATGAAAGAGGTGGTTTAAAAAAAAAACACAACTTCAGTGAACCTGCCAAAAGAGCATCAAGGCCGTGAAAGAACTTTCACGGCAACAAGTATGAAAGCCATAAATAAGTGCATAAGGAAAGTAAGCATAACTATGGAAAGGTTAGACCTCAAGTGCTAATCAATATAGCGACTTAGCAGAACACTTTACAAACAGGTTCCTGACACCCTAGGGGAAAGTGACAAGGAGTAATTTAATTCCACAGTTATTTGCCCAAGCTCTGGAAAATGAAGTAAACCAGCCAAATCTTATTTTACAGTAACTAGGCCTGATGGTTTAGTATTTACCAAGCTGATTCACTCCTCCAGTGTCGCCGTTTCCATTTTATTTAAAGATCCGACTCTCACAAAGCGCACCACAACCAATTCCTATTTGCCGCCACGCTTTCCGTGTTGTCTCCTGCCTGAATTCCCAGATTGCGTTAGGAAAGAGTACCTCGCACAGGAAATTTAATTGTATCCGAAAATATATACATGGTTCGACTATCCTCGCAGGATGATGCACAAAAGAAAGGCACAGCTTCTAACAGGCTTTGTATGGAAATGAAATAAGCCCATATTCAGGAAACGACATTAAAATGGATCTCTTCAGTTAACGTCTATCATTCAGCTCCAATAAATCTACAAATAATTCCAAGAGAGAAAAATCTTTTTCTAACTACATACTAGATGTCTCTCTCTTTCCCTGCATCTATATGTATGTCTCTGTGTGAGAAAGTGGGGAAAATCCCTATACTGTATTGCTATTTAAATAAAAAAATCAGGTGCCAGAACTCACAATTGTATGCCTTCCTTGTTTTCTTATACAGTGGTACCTCTAGTTACGAACTTAATTCGTTCCAGAGGTCCGTTCTTAACCTGAAACTGTTCTTAACTAGAAGCATGCTTTTGCTAATGGGGCCTCTTGCTGCCACTGCGCCGCCACCACATGATTTCTGTTCTCATCCTGGGGCAAAGTTCTCAACTCGAGGTAACTCTTCCAGATTAGCGGAGTTTGTAACCTGAAGTGTTTGTAACCTTAGGCATTTGTAACTCGAGGTACCACTGTAATGGCAATGGTGCAGACCCGAAAAGTCCCAGAACTGAATTCCCGTGAGCTCCAGCTGAAAAAAAGCCCTGATTTTATGTAATTTTAGAAAGTGGCTGGCACAACTAATGTCATATTGATATTTACAACCAGGGGATGTGCTACAGTGCAATATAATGTAGCATTCTCAACACTCCTTCACTTTGCAATTAAGGCCTCTCAATCAATTGCTAGTCCCATCTTCTGGCCGATAAGACATACTGTGAAACACATTAGTGTGTTTGTAGAGCTCCAAAGTAAAAAACAACAACAAATTAGTAAGATAAGTCAAATGCTTGTTAGAAGTGCATTGCTTTTGTAACCAATTCAGGCATTAAGTAGTGTACCGGCAAATCTTAAAAATGCATTATTACCCATGAAAAAACTTTCCTGAGAATTTATATTATATTATTACAACAGGATGATTGGCTAACCTCATATATATGTGAATCTCCACTGAAGTGAAGGGAGAAGACATCGAAATTTGTAACCCTGCCTTAAGATGGGGTTGGCTGAATGGAATTCAGCAGATTCTACAGCTTATGGTTAGACTAGGGTTGTATACAGCCGAAATTTTCTGGATATAACTTGGCAGAAATGATTTCCAGGAAAGTATGGACGTGTGGCAAGCCATGTCGGCAGTGCTGTTTTTGTTGATTTGCATAAATAATAGCTCAAAATACGCAATTATTTCTGCTCAACAACTTTTTTGGGGGTGGGGGTGGGATGAGAAAGCTCAACAACTTTTGACTCTGGATTTTCACCTAGGTTAGAAAAGGATTTGGGTGACTGATTTGAAACTTGGTAGTGCACGAATTGGAGGTTTGAGGCTATCCCTGAAGCCAGGAGAGCAAGAGGGACCGATCCCTCTTGCTCTCCTGAGCACAGCGAGAAGCAATTACACAGTGAGAATGAGACAGGGACTGGGAGCAGGGCCTTAGGAAAAAGGGCCCTTGCAGAGTCTGATAGGTAAGAAATGGCCCTTTGGGGTCAGCTGGCTGAACCACACTCTTCTTCTTCTTTGGCGATCACTTGTAGCTGAGTAAGATTGTCTTCCATAAACACGGTTTTAACAATGAGTCCGTAAGTGACTGTGGAGGCCAATTCTGGATCCACGCGTCCTTTCACAGTGGGGACATTGGTTTCTGGGCAGGAGTTGATCACGGTGTGGATTTGCCAAGCGTGCCTTCCTCTTAGCACATTTCTCCCTTGCGTCCTGAATTCGAGTGTCTTCAAAGCCCATGACACCTTTGGTAAAGGCTGTTCTCCAACTGGAGCGCTCGCAGGCCAGTGTTTCCCAGTTGTCAGTGTTTATACTACATTTTTTTAGATTTGCCTTGAGACAGTCTTTAAACTTTTTTTGTTGACCACCAGCATTATGCTTTCCATTTTTACAGTGGTACCTCGGGTTAAGTACTTCATTTGTTCCAGAGGTCTGTTCTTAACCTGAAACTATTCTTAACCTGAAGGACCACTTTAGCTAATGGGGCCTCCTGCTGCTGTTGCGCCACCAGAGCACGATTTCTGTTCTTATTCTGAAGCAAAGTTCTTAACCCGAGGTACTATTTCTGGGTTAGTGGAGTCTGTAATCTGAAACGTATGTAATCATCAGGCATCCGCACAACATGACCAGTCCAACGAAGTTGATATTGAAGAATCATTGCTTCAACACTGGTGATCTTTGCTTCTTCCAGTACACTGATATTAGTTCGCCTGTTTTCCCAAGTGATGTGTAAAAATTTTTGGAGACACCATTGATGGAATCTTTTGAGGAGTTGGAGATGGCATTCACAAGTGGTCCATGTTTCACAAGCATATGGTAAGGTTGGTAGTACAATAGCTTTGTAAACAAGCATTTTGGTTTCCCTGAGAATGAACAAGACCAAGGCAGGCTGGCATTGCAGCCAAGGAACTGTCCCCCAAACAGAGAGTTCAGTCTGCCAGGTTTGCAGTGAAAACAGAGCACTTGTGGCACAGGACACAATGCACAATGTTTGTTATGCCTCCTTTGAAAGTACATTTGTCTGTTATCTAATTCAGCCTTGACAACAAGAGATCTGATCTGCACCTCATTCTTACAGTAGGCCTAGGCTCCTTCCTGTCTCTGCACAAAGGGCTGGTTTGTATTTGTCTGTCTACCCTGTGCTACAACCTCACTCATCCCACGAGCTAAAGGTTTGAGAGAAATGTAGCCTTGGATGCCATCGTTCTAAACCTGCTTGCTTCCTAGCTCTAGTTCATTTCAGTGGCAACTAGATGAAAGGAGTGCTTGTTTGGAGGATTGTGTCCAATTCAAAAGACTTGTGCTCAGTCTGGGCCAACCCGTCGCAGCAAATGAATTAAATCTATACAGAGCAATTCTTTCAAGGGACAAAACCTTTGGTATTAGATTTTACAATACATCTCCTTGCGTTTTAGTGTTGTGAATACAAATTGAAGTGCTGCACCTTGAAATTGCAACAGGACTCCATACTATAATGAAAGCTTATTGTGAATCAATAAAAATTGGACCTACTTTAGCAACTATGATTGCTCTGGTCCACTGGAAACGCCTGGAGCAGAAACGAGCAGCTTGTTTTCAGCCCACTGCTGTGTCTATTTAACTGCTGGATTCCTGATCACGAAACAATATGGTTGGGTGAGAACAGTGACTGAGGTTTTGATGTGGGATTGCTAATTTTACCTACCTACACATTGTTCTAATATTCCATTCACACTGATGGGAGTTTACAGTCTGCTGCAAGAATAGTAACAAAAATATTTTGCTCTCTACACATAAATAACATCCCATGATATGAGTGTGTTATTGGGCTATTATGGGGGGGTGGGGAGCCACTTGTACTAAAATAATCAAACAATTATTAAAACTTTTAAATAAGCTCTCATGAATGCTTGATCCAGTTATTTATTTAGGGATTTATATTCCCCCCTTTGTACAGACCATACAATAGCTAACAAAAAGAATAGGCCAGTCACAGTTTCTCTGCCTAACCTACATCACAGGATTGTTGGGAGGAAAAAATGAGGAGAGGGTAGGAGGAACCAAGTACAATCATACCTTGGAAGTCAAACAGAATCCATTCTGGAAGTCCGTTCGACTTCCAAAATGTTTGGAAACCAAAGCATGGCTTCTGATTGGCTGCAGGAAGTTCCTGCAGCCAGTCAGAAGCCACATCAGACATTTGGCTTCCAAAAAAACCTTCGAAAACTGGAACACTCACTTTCGGTTTTTGATCGTTCAGGAGCCAAAACGTTCAGCAACTAAGCCATTCAAGATCCAAGGTACGACTGTACGTCACTTTTGAGCTCCTTGGGAGAAAGGTAGGATACAAATGTATTTTTTAAAAAACAATGGCCCCTTTACACTCCTGAGCCTTTTATTTATATGAGCTATATTCCTAGCACAGAAATCTAGCAGGTGAACTTCTGGCATAGAGATCCGAGTGGCAGAAGAAAAGCCTCCTCTGCTGTTATAGGCAGGGGACTGGGGCCAGAATAAAGGACGACAACCTAACCTGGGAGCTGATGTCCCTTCAAGTCACAGAGAGATTGCAGCACCAATAATATTTCAAGAGGAAGTGGCAATTCTTTCCCTCTCCCCTGCTCCCCTTCCAAGGAAGAAGATCCAGAATGGTGGCCAAGACACCTGCATGCAAAAGCAGCCTCTGCTTTTATAAAGATAGCACTCCCACAAATAACAAGTGAATAAATGAAACTGAGGTGTGAAATTGAAGTTTCTCTACAAGACAGAGATCAGCCTCCCACTCACA